GCGTGCGGGAGAAGGTGTGATGTTATGAAGACCAGCGAACTTTCATCCTGAAAATATTCCCCCTGTTTCATCCACTGAACAGTGCTGTTATGAGGTCTTACTAGTGTTCCTTGGCAGTTTATAAAGTTTTACTAGTTAATAACTGACGTATGTTATCTAGCTTATTTTTAGCGAGGCGCATTCTTTCGTCCAAAAAGAAAGTTTATAAGAAAAATCCGGCAAAATACCAACACAACTTTAGCCAGCTCCTGATTTTTATTATATTTCTCTACACAAAAGTATCTCTATTTCATGGAGTAACAAAAGGTGAAGAAATCGAAACAATCAATAACAAAAATACATCGCTTACTTTAAATTTGATCCTCAGCGACACACTGCCTTTGTGACCAGTGAGGCCCCCTAAACTGGACCGTGACTGCCTGGAATCTATTTTCGTCACCAAAGGAAATATTTCCAGCGGAGCAAAAACCAGCAATAAATTCCATGCAAGCGAAGTCTTGCAAAGAAGCGATTTGCCATGTGAACTCAACCATGCCGTGAGCACTGATAACCAAGTAGCCTCAGTCGGCACTGTACCAAACAATTCCGAATGAGAGAGCTCCTGAATTCGATAGAATACCTCAAATTGGTGAAAAAACGCGAATTTGATGAATTCTTTGATCCGTATACATTTTCAATTTTCCTTTAGCTGTGCCTGGTTCGTATGGGGCTGTGCGAATCATGTCATATTCAAGTCACAAAATATCTAGGAGGAGTGCATCGGCGAAGCAAAAGTAAAACCTGTAATCCAATTGCAATAATCGTTGCAGCACTTGCATCCTCTTCTCGTATAAGCTGACTGATCTGATCGCTCTCTGGCTTTCTGCTATTGACATTGTACGTGATAGACACAATCTTCCAATCGGACTTACTCATTACCAGAGCAACATCCTGCAAAAACACACCAAAAATCCATATCTGGCTGGCATCAAAATATCACACTACAGCCTAGGCGTTCCACGAATCACCGCATCCTCGCATATCATTCATTTTGGTAATCGTCCCAGGAGTAGCCGACAAATTTAACGAAACGGGATGAACGAGTGATGCATCTTCCGGAAAACGTGAGCTGAAATAACCACCTTTGTTGTGCGTTTTTTGCATTTGTGCAATACAGGAGACGCATATTAAAGGAGAGGTTGTCTGCCTTTGTGTGTGTGTGTGTGTGTGTGTGTCTACACCGATTTTTCACCTCAAGACCTCTAAAAGCTGCAGGGCTGAAACTCTGGGAGCTTAACCTACATTCATGCACGGGACCCAAATCTCAAAATGTCCGCTCTCACCCGCGTCGTGTCCACGTAGTTTTTGGGGAGGCAAGCTGCTAACTCAAGGATCAGCAAAGTTAGACTAGAATTTTAAGCGGATATTCCCCGTCCACTTGGGTATTAATGAGCTCAAACCCAGCCAACGCGTATGCGTGGCCCTCGTGTACGGACCCGTAAGAGATTTTTTTTCGAGCAAGTTGCTAGCTCGGGGATTTGAAAATCTAGAAGACTGGAATTTTAAGGGATTGTTGCCCGTCCAAGTGGTATTAATGAGCTGAAATCCAGCCCCCGCGTATGCATGGTTCTCACGTACAGGG